AGGAAAGCAGAAGGTAATCTGTTCAGTAAGAATTATACTGTAGATATAGAATTGGGAAATGATTTTTTTAGGCATAGTGTCATGGCATACCTAAAGTTGATAAGGCAAAGAAGACTATTCTTGGGCTCCCCCCCTCAAAAAAAAAAGAGAAAAAAGAAGTCTTGCTTTCATTTGTAAAAAAGAAGTCTTGCTTTCATTTATAAAAAAATTAGTTACCAGATTCTGATATATGTCAGATATCTGTCCTGTAAGGTTTACATGTTATACTTCATTGATGATTTCAAGGACTGAAATAATTGGGTTTGTTCAGATGTTTCTTTTTAGAATTTGAACTAGCCCAAAATTTGAAGATGTTTATAATTTGCCATTTCCTAATTGCCTTATTGCATACTTAACTGAAGCCACACAATAACAAACTGAAGCCAAGTCTCAAGTATTACATTTAAGATATAATAGAAAGGATGCTCCCAGGGTATACTCACATGCAATTCTGCATCTTACCCTACATATTTTTTGCTTTTGTATCATCTACAAAGCGTGCTGACTAATTTAATTACAGCAGAACTGTTTTCTTCTAGTTAATCTCTTTCCTCACTAGGGATAATTAGCTTTACTAGAAGTTAAGTTGTGGGCAGAATTTACTCCATGGGGCAACACTGATACTCTGCAGATCTAGTTCCGCTTGCTCTGTATTGAAAAACATACTTGAGCAACATCAGTATTTTGGGTTACCTTCTGACCAATATTTGTGTTTTTTCCAGAAAAAAAATAATCTATTATTTCCCTTGTCTGCAAGCATAGAACATCTTATCTATCTGCCACTTACTTCTGTGGTTGTACTACAGAAAGTTTTGTATTTAGTTTCTTTTTCGTTGTTTACTATCTTTTAAGACATACCATTAGTTTTGCACTGAGATAAGCCTTTGCTGTGGAGCATTTGCTCCTGATGCACCTCTAATGTCTGTTCAGAGTTACTGTAGAAGAGCATTCCCCCCCCTTTCAGGATATAAAAGCAGCTGTAAGATCACTATGTTAAGGCATACTAAGGAACACAAAATCTGTTTGCTGCTCAAGCTGCTTTCTTACTGTTTCAGAAGCCTTCCATAAAGTCCTTACTGCTTGCTGATGTTACTGTTAAGCCCCATACTTTGTGACAGCATTACTGAACTGTGTAGGTAGGGTAAGATTCTGAATCACTATTCACATCAAGAATAAACTTAAATACTTGACAAGGAAAAGCTCAACTCTCAAACTATAACAAGCACCTACCAGGACATAGGCTAAGCACTTCACTTGCAAGTGTTTGCTTTGCATTCAAGTATCAATACACATAGTGGTTTGTCAATCCTTACTCAGGAATACTATTTCTCGTCAAGTATCAATACACATAGTGGTTTGTCAAGCCTTACCCAAGGAATACTGTTTCTCATCCCCTACTAGCCTTATCACTCAGAGCATTCTACCCTCTCTGCTCTGTAAATCTAGGCAAAAAGAACAAAGCACTCTTACATATCTGTTTTACTGTCACTTCATTGTTGTGAGTTTATTTGAGGATAAATAACAGTAGTACTCCCATTGTACTTTCAGTACTACTATATTTTTCATCCTAATAAGCACAAACTATTATCAGATAGCTTCACAGAACTATTAGTACCTGTCTTGTTGCCTGAAGGGAGACAATTCATTTCTATTAGGCAATTCTATAAAAACAGCTTTCCCACATGCATAACTTACCTACATTCTATATTTTACAATCACTATAAGCTATTAGCTTAAATGCTAAAAAAAAAGAGATAAAAAACCCAAGAAAAGGCCTAAAATTGGCACACTTACCAGACAGAAGTAGCTTCTTGTTTCAAACCCTTTAGTATACACAAGCAGCAGCTGTTTGCCATTGCCAAATTTATAGGACTAGCCTCCAGAGCATTGTGCTGGGGTAGGTTTATATAAAGGGCCCTTGCTGGGGGGTGGTGAGTGATCTGGTGGGGGGTGGTGTCTCTCTCTATGGCCTTAGGTAGCTAGGGTGTAGCTGTGTTGTAGTGAAACTGGTGTGTAGAATTATTAACAGAGGAGTAGTTTTTATTTATGAAGATAATGTGCCATGTCTAGTGTAGTTAGTTTCTTTTTTCTTTTTGTTATCTGTAAGTATTATTTCCTAGTTGTGTTTATGAGTGGCTTATTTTCTTGTACCTATTTAATATGTTTTCAGTTATAAGTGGTTTTTATGTAAAGACTCTAGCTGAAGTATCATGGTAGTTAAAGAAATAAGTCTTTACTATCATTTATCATTTGTTTTCTTACTTGGTGATTATTTTGGCTGAGGTAGAGTTAACTTTTTTTGTAATAGGAACTGGTGATTGCTGGTTGGGAATGAGCTGGCTATCAGTCAGTGGGTTGTGAGTGTTATGCATCACTTCTTCTGTATATTCTTTTATCTTTATTGTTGTTATTTTCTTTTCCTTTGTTGTCCTATTAAGCTGCTTCTATCTCAAGGAAACCCCCGAAAACTTGCTCTACTGCTAATCTCCAAGGGCTGTAGGGGAATTTCTGCTCTGGCTCCTGGAGCACCTCCTCCTCTTCCTTCACTGATATCTGTGGAGGTGTTCCTACTTGAGTTCACTGGGGAGCTCCAGCCTGTCCAGTACAGCAGTGGTGGTGCCCAGGTCCATTGCCATTGTTGTGATCAGAATGTTGCTGGGCACAGCTGAGGAGGATGAGAGGCAGTACAGCAAGCAGCAAAAGGAAATGCAGCTACTAACAAGCATAAGACTCTTATTTATAGTAAGGTGAGCAAGCCCCATGGCAAGCACAACTAATAGCTAAACAGCAATAATAGCTATAAACTTGATCTAGCACATCCCAATCGAACCTGTTGTTATCTTGAAGCCTTTGAGCCCTGTGTTGGGTGCCCGTGAGGAGCAGAAAAGACCTTGACTCTCTGTAATCACTGTTCAGCAATAAGGAAAACATCCCTGAGTTATCAACACTGTTTTCCAGCACAAATCCAAAACATAGCCCTGTTCTAGCTACCATGAAGACAATGAACTCTACCCCTGGCAAAACCAGCAAGCTGTTACAGATACCTGCTGTGGGTATCTATGAGGGCTCTCTTTCACTAACTTCCATGCAAATTTTCTTCTGAGCCTTTAACTAGCCCAAAGGGTTCTGGGGGATTTCTAGCTAGTGGTCTGCATTTGTATTTTTTTCTCTGTGTTTTCTTGGAGCTACTATGTAATTGGTGTCTCTGGGGCTTGGTATCTAGCTGCCTGTGGTTTCTCACCTCCAGTGCTTATGGACAAATGCGTATGTTTGGGGAGAAAAAGTGTCTGCCATCCAGACTGCAAAAGGGGTTTGTGCAGTTGTGAAGGTTACATTTTCTTGACATGGCATGTTGGGAGAAAAAAAAGGCTTTTTTGCTTTGAAGTTAGCAAAGTGTAAGTATAACCTTTTTTTTTTGTCTTGCCTCTTGTGTGACCACTTTCTCTGGAGGCTGCAAAAGACAGTTTCTGCCTTTTTAGATAGAGTGGTTGCCAGGAGTTGATGGAGAAGCTTGACATCATGGCTGAGCTGTTCTGATGAAGAGTCGCTACCAGAAAGCATAGCAAAAAGCTATTTGGTTTTTTGTTGTTAGTTTTCTGACAATGGAAAACAGAATTCTGTGTGGTGGTGGAAAGGCTCATCTGTAAGGCAGAACTTCAAAATCTAAAAGCCTTAGGCTGCCAAAGCCCCTTCTATGCTAGTGCTTTGCCTTTGCCTGAGGGACCTGCTGGAAATGACTGGTTCTGGCAAATTAGAGATTGGTCTTGTAGCTTGTGCAGGTAAATACTATCCAGAATTGGTGTTTCTCTGCTGGCAGCTTGAAGTGGCTGTGCCTGTTTGAGCCTTTAGAATAGCTAAATAGCATTTCCACCAAGCAAAGAGAATGTGCAAACAGCTTACATGACTTGTACTGTAGTATCTTGAATCTGTGTGTATGGGCTGTCTCTGTTGGAGGTGCATTCTTAGCTAATCAGGACATGATTTTCAAGTAGGCATGTATGTGATCCTTTTTAGCTTATTAGCTCCCAGCTTACCTGGAAGCCTACCAGCTTGTTCCTGCTAAGTTTTAATGGATGATTGGAAATGACATTAGAAAGTCCTGCTCCTAGGTTGTTCTGCTTTTGAGTCAGTAAAAGCATCACAGATTGAGATATTATTAAGACCAGATAAATAGTAACTTTGGAGGTAGCAGTACTTAAAGCAGCATGTGTGTATCTTTGGGACTCAGTGGATTCAGGTGGATATAATACATAGTCAGGAATATGGCACTAATGCCTACCTATAATGAACTTTGGTTTTGGTTTTTTTTTTCCTTAGCCACTTCAATAGATTGGAGTACTATAAGCAATTAATTTACCATTTGCATATCTCATCAAGGTGTTCTTTGAGCTTTCTGAAGTGTCACTGATTTTTGGGTGTGCATTGGCTAGCTCCCTGTTTATTAAGTGGTCATTTGCCTAACTGGTTTTGCTTTCTTTTGTTAGTCTTAATTGATGTATTACCATAGATCAGCTTGCATCCAGGCATGGATTTGAAGAGCACCTGGGTGATTCCCAAACAACTACTCATTGTTCTGCACTTGAACCTCTTCAATAACAGTTGTTACTTTGTCTGGTTCTTTTTTTTCCCCAGCTTGCCTGTATTTCACTCAAATGCAGAGCTCGTGCAGTTAACTAGTTTGTGCAGTTAAAGGACATGCAATTGCTTTCCCCCACAATGTAGTTTATGATAAAAATCTTAATTCACTTTTCTGCCTTTTGCTAAGTTATTCTTGGGTTTTGCTGTTAAATTAAGCGTTTGATCCTGTGTCCAGAACAGAATGTAATTAGGAAATGAAAACATTCCTGTAGTTCTTGCCTCCTGTGTTGCAGCAGACATGCACGCACTAAGAACTTCTCAGCATCCCTGTGAAGTGCTCACTAGACAAGATACTTATACAGAGATCTAATCTCAGAACTTACCTTTCTATTCAGAAGGTGCTTGAGTGCTCAGGAGAGGTTCTGTTCCTGTTTGGCAGAACTGGGCTGGTCCATGACTTCCAAGTGCACAGTGGGGTTAGAATTTGTGGAGTTCATGAAAAGGGTGCTTTGTCGCCTTCGTCACTGCAGGGTGCTGCTGCTGGAGGAGGATTTGTTGCTTCAAGTCCTTCTCTCCAGCACTAGTAAAAGAAACACACCTGGAAAAAAGTCTTAAGAGCAAGTCCTGAGAGGACCTTCAATGGTTGAAATGCATATTGAGATGAAAGATGCCACTCTCTACATTTGCAGCTGTCATACTTGGAGCTGCCGTCACAGGTTGTACCTCATTGCATTAGACACGCAGCTCAAGGATGAAGGTGATGGTTGCCTCAGGTACTTGCACTTGCTTGTCTTGTCAGATACAGTTACAGACAGATGGTGATGGGGAACTGAGAATCTGCAGAGCTCAGCATGAAGGGCATTTGTCTTGGCGCTCTAGCTGTTTTTCACTGTGTCAAGCTTTGTTTCGAGATTCTGCGGAATTATACAGAAGCCGAGCGTGTACTGCCTGTATTTGAGACAGTCCCCACATGTGAAGGCTAGCATGGGAGAAAACAAAACATGCTTGTTTGCAAAACAAAAGAAGTGGTGGAGCAGAGTGTAGGAGAATGCATTTGGGATAACTATGAATGGAACAAGCCCAAAATAGGGAAGCCACAGCGACTGCAGCTTAAGCTGAGAGATCTAGTTGTACGATAAAATGTTAGGAATAAAACTGTAAATGGATATTTCTTGTGTCCAGACTGAGTTGTGTGTGACGCTGGCATTCTGTTCCTGAATGCTGTTGGTAGTCAGTGGTTTGAAAAAACATATTGGAAAGCTTGCAGAAAGCTTTTGGGGTACTTTACTTTTCTGAGGACTTCTGGAAACCCAGCTGTGATCTAATCTGTGGGTAGCAGAGGCTACTTCACGGTTCCCAGTACAGTATAGTCCACACTGTCCCTCCCATGCCTTCTGGTGTTACAGGGGTGCTTGCTAGGTTCTCCTGGTCATCTTCAATCACTTTTGTGATCATGAATTGCTATGTTTGAACTGGGCAGCTGAATAAATTTGGGGAATGTTCTGTTGTAGTGCAAATCCTTGTGCTAATTAGCATCGTTTTGACAGTCATTTCTGCAATGAGAAGTGACTACACAAGAATAGATAAAAATAGATTCCTTCAGATGCCTAATTAAATATTGCCAGTGTCCTGACTAGAAATGCTTTAATCTAATGAGAATACTACTTGAGGTTACCGCTACCAGAAGTGCATATTTCCTTGAGTTATTCCATAACTCTATTCTAATGACATCAACAGCTGGAGAGCTAAATGCTGTTAATGAAACCTTTTTTTCTGACTACAAGCAACTTATCCCATCAGTCCTACTCTAAGTATTGGGCAACACAGACTTTACAAATACAGTAGCACATGAGAAGTTCAACCCATGCTGAATTGCAATAGACGTTACCAACCAGAACTCAACAGCATTATTTGAGAGAATGGGTTTTGTTGCAAATGCACAATCCAAAGTATTTAATGATTAAAAATGAGGGACAGAAGAGGCTTTTCAAAAGAGCACTACCTGGCACAGGAACAGGTAATTCACTGGACCAAAAAGATCAGAGGAGTGAGTGGAAGTGACCAACATCTCATCGCCCAGGCTGCAAGTGCCATTTCTTTGGGCAGCAGTACTGTTGTGTCCTGGCTGGTGGGGGGGAAAGCTGCTCTCTACCTGATTGTGGAGCCTTGGAGTGACATTATGGTCTTAACTTTGCTTTAATTGGCACAAATGGCTATGCTGTCCTAAGAAATAATCTTAAGGTCTTGCGCTTAGGAGGAATAACTGATGTAGATGATATTAGCTGTGCATGTCAGTTGCAGAATTCCTGGAGGAAGGCATGTGGGTTCTTTTGTTAGATTATGGCTAGCTGTATGCTGCAGCAGATTCAGCAGGTTAAACCAGCAAGGTCAGCAGATCAGGAAGTAGCTGGAGGCCTGTCCAGTAACCCACACGTGGGGCGAGGATCTGTCACTTTATAAGTAAGAAGAACACGGTTTACAACACTACCTTGTAAACAGAAAAGGCAGTAACAAAACCATTGAAGGCTATACAGAAGAAAAGCTTTGGATTTGTCTGAGCTGCTGTAAGAAAGGAACCTCAGCGTCCATCATCCAGCAGGTAATCAATTCTTGTGTGACTGGGCTGTTTGTCAATGGGCTGATTAGAGGAACTGCTCTGGGTTGTCCTAATCCCATGCTTGTTTATGCAGTTACTTCCTTTGACAGATAGTTGGTGGGTCTCCCAGCTGAAAGTATTTTGCCTAAACTCCCGGTGGGGCATAGCAAGGTTGCTGTGTACTTGGAAAGCTATATATAGACTTGCTCTAAATTATCTGTTTAGATTTGTAGTGTTTCAAAGTGAAGCTTTTCATATGGTCTGGAGCAATGAATTATTTTTTTTTTAAAATGCACGTCTGTGCAACTGGCCTCCCCTAACTGCTGTCACTGACATTGCCAAAGATGTAAGTGAAGAGTCCTGAAGAGCAGACAAGTTCTGTTGTCAACATTAGAAATAACTGTAAGTGCTCAAACAACTGCTAGGCTGTACTAAGCTTCACTGCATAAAAATAACTGTCCCAGTTGCATCTTTCTTGTTTCTCTAATTAGTATAAGTGGTAATTAAACAAAGATTCCATTAAGAATGCCAGCTCTCTCATCCTCTCTAGGTGTGTATACACACACATATATAGGGAAGGAAGAAACTGTTTGAAATAAAGCCCTCTGCAGCAAATATTTGATTTATCTGGGAGAGAGTTTACCTTGAAGGGTTGCTCAGCACAATGGGCTATGCAGCAATGTGATGGCTTTTGCATGTCACATTCTTAGTTTTAAGAGTATTTGGGACATTTGCTTGAATCAAGCAAAAACTGGCAGTCCCATCCCACCTGGCATGATGCATTAATTTCAGCATGCTGAAGGCAACTCACTGGTTATATGCATGTTTCCTTGTACCTCTCTTGTGCTTTGGGAGAGCAAGTTAAGTATGAAATTTAGTTAGACTGAATAGTTTCCATCTGAGAGCATCTGTAGAGTGTTGAAAAGCTGTTGAAACTCTAATCCTTTAGGCTGATGTTAACTAGTGCAGGAGATGCTAGTGAAAATGCATGTGCGCAGACTTTAAATAACCTGAGCATTTCCTCACCCTACAAAGCTGCTCGTCCACAGAGGTGATGCCACTAGGTTTTGCTCCTACTCCTAAAGACACCCAGCATCCTTGGGTTCTCATCCTCGCTCTGCTTTCTGGGAGAGGACATCTAGTTTAGTTTCTCAGTGACCTCTGTGGGAAATGGATTTTCCATGGCCCAAGTACTGACCTTCAAAAGTGGCCAAGGCCCCCTAGAAAGTGGTTTGGACTGGATAAGGATCAAAGCTAAAAAAGCGTTGCTTTTCATCTCATGGACTTCGTCAACCTAAAAATATGTCTTTCTCAGATGGACTGGATAAGGATCAAAGCTAAAAAAGCATTGCTTTTCATCTCGTGGACTTCGTCAACCTAAAAATGTTTTTCTCAGCAGAAGTTTCTGCAGTCTGTGAATCCAGCCCTGCACATCTGAAGTCCAAGCTGCAAGATGTTTTTTATTAAAATATTCTGCTGCTACAGCGGTGTCTTACTACAGCTGAAAGTTTCTGTGCGTCATTTTATGGAAGGAGGAGTCTTGACAGGCTTCTATGGTTGTTCTTACTATGATATACCTATGAAGTAGTTTATAATGCTGCTTAAAATTATTTATTAATGTGGCTTTTATGCCCAAGAAGCCAAAAAGTGCCAGAATTCTCTAAATAGGTTTGATTTTACTATATTGATGAATACTGTATATCTTGTCAATGTATTGTTTACTTTCCCACATCATGCTGAAATCTTAAATGTTATTTAGTAGGGAATAGTCTCCCATGACCTAATAAAAAAATTAGCAAGGTAATATTTACTGTAAATGGTTTCACTGTGTTTTTCCAAGTTGTGTAGAAAAGCATCTCTTTAATGCTGACGTCTGTTTCTTCTGGGGAGCAAACTAGTTATTGCCTTGATTTGAAAGTATCTATATTTAGAGCAGGAAAGAATCCAATATTCAAATTCTCCCGGAAGCTACTGTCAACAAGGTGAAATCCCACTTCTTGTTTTAGTGTTGCCAATTGGCTTGTACTCGGGAAGCATTACAGCATGAAAGCTTTATGGCTAGAAATGATGGATGGTTGTGCAGTTGGATAAACTGTTTTCTCTTGAGCTAAAAAAAATGCAGTGCTTGTTAATCTAAAGAGCTAATAGCCATGTGCTAAATGGGATTCTGTCCCTTCTTTACTCTCTCTTTCCTGATGGCAGAGGTTGTGGGAGGACAATTAAATGACATGGCCAATTTAGGCAGGCAAAGGTGCAGCAACTTTTTAGGTGAACCTCATCTTTAGTGGAATTTCCCGACTTTCAGTGTAGTAATAAAACCCTTCAGAACTGGCCAATCTGTTGAACAGGGAATGCAGTGGTACAGAAGTACAGCTGGCCTCTTCAGCATGAAGGGGAAGTTTCTGTCCCATGGCTGGGGAAGGTAGTCATCCCTTAACTCAAACACAGCAGTAGTATCAGCTTGGACATTCAGGCTCTGCGTACTGATGCTATTTATTCTTCTCTTAGCTTCTCTTCCTTTCTTCTAATCCTTGATCCAAAGTTCAAATTAGTTGATGTTGACATAACTGGTAAAGCAATGACTAACACGGAACTAGGACTTCTGTTAAGAGTAACATTGGGATAGTGGAAATAAAAAAATATTCTATACATATTTGCTTATGAAACCTTATCTTAAGCAAAACTGAAATGAAGACCTGTGAATGATTCAATGCCTTGTGTCAACTGTGATTGGGTGGATTAATTCAAATGACTGAGATAGTTGATTGAAGGCAAAGGAAGACCTTCAGAACTCAAATTCTTGTAAAAGCATGTGGTATGCTGTTTAGCCTCTTCCAAACCTAAATATTTGAAAAAATCCTATGTTAGTTTTGCCATTTGAGGCAATTTGGTAAACCTTTTGATTGAAATACCTGGGCCAGAGCCAGTGCGTTCATGCTGTGTGTGATCCAGGATACGTTGTGTCTCAGAGGAAAAGCTGTTCTTGATGTGGCTACAGAGAGTATGATGGTTCTTGGATGCTGGGAGGTAAGCACATACACTGGGGAATTACTTTGCATTTCCAGTGTCCCAGGAGTAGAGGTAATGCTCAACATGAATCTATTCAGACGATCAGTTACAGGATTTCAAGTACATGCAAATGTCAGTATTTAGCAATTCCTGTAGTCAGTAA